TCTCTCTCTCTCTCTCTCTCTCTCTCTTTCTCTCTCTCTCTCTTCTCTCGTTCTCTCTCTCCCTCTCTCTCTTTCTCTCTCTCTCTATTTCTCTCTGTCATTCTCTCTCTCTCTTTCTCTCTCTTTCTTTCTCTCTCTCCTCTCATCTCCCTCCTCTTGTCTTTACTACTGTATTTCTGCTTTTCTTACAACAAAACTTTGATCCTGTTTAATATAAATGTAAAACGCAGTTGACCCTTCTCTAACAGTCACCTGTCCAAGAAAATCATACGTTAAAAAAACCCACTACCTACTCTCCCTCCCCTTACGGTTTGAAATATTATTATTATGAAACTGCCCAAAACGTCCACCAGTCTAACACATCCGCTTTCATTTTAGGCTGTGGGTGGTCATCTTGGGGGATTTTAACTGTATTACCGAGAAGCTCTCTTTCCCTGATAATCCCCAGTGAAGCCTGTAGTCCCTGTACAGTGCCACGCTCTGGCTGACATCATTCTGGTCCTGGACTCGTCTGGAAGCATCCAAGCGTCAGGCAAAGACAACTACCCTACTATGCTTCAGTTTGCCGCCAACCTCACAGAACAGTTTACCCTGGGCCCAGACGACATCAGATTTGGCGCCGTTGTCTTCAGCGAAGTAGCAAAGAAGATGTTTGACCTCAAAGATTATTCGAATCATTCAGCTCTTTCTAATGTGAGAACTGGCTTAAGATATCAGTTCGTCTGTGTCCGAGGCTAACCGTGTATACGCCAAATTAGTCCAAACTCTTCTTTTGTCTGGAGTTATTTTCTTCGTAACTTCCATTATAGCTTGTTCACGTTCGTCTGTCCGTAGGAAAAAAAATGGATGATTTATCAACTTACCTATGCTCAAGAAGTTTTGCATGGCACGTCTACTTGCCAGCTACCTAGCAAAAATATTTTCAAGAAATAATCTTGATCCAGTAATAAAAAAAAGTTTCTCTACGACGTGACCAGAAAAAAATTCGCCCAAATGAACGCAAAAAACCCGTTATGAGTAAGGTACAAACACCAAAGCTTGCAGAGACGTGCTACATCCATCCAGATTTATTATGTATTATTAACAATAGAATATGACTGTCACTAAGTAACAAGACATCTTCCTGATACCCCCAATTTCGGGTATATCACACGCTTAGTGAAACTGACAATCACCCGTTGACACCACTCGGAGGAAATCTATCTTACGCCCTCCATGTCCATGATGGGTTCTCTTGTCTTGGATACTTTAGAACATTTTCCCACATATCTTGTACTTCAGCAACCACCCCCCCCCCCCAAATGGTGAAAGTCCAGTGGACACACGTCTGGGTAGTTTGGAGTCCAATTGTGCTCAGTCGGATTGACTGTCCTGTAACCAAAATGTTTTTGACCCAGCCCAGAACAGCTCTGGCGTCATACAGAGCAACCCTACCTTGTTGGAAGGACTGGGTATTTCTCCCTTCATCATCAACAAATTATAGTCCCAAGCTTCCCCAGAACTCTGAGAAGATGACTAGGTATTGGTCAGAATTCACCGAATCACGGACCACCTTTACCTTTCCCAAATTTCGCTGTTTTAATAGGTTGTCTACCTTGTTTTAGTCGGGGATTAGAAAATTATGTTTTTTTCCTATGGACTTAAACCTTTCAAAATTTTAGCCCATCACAAAATGGGCCTTTCGCTGGGAAAGTTACGTTTGTTACAGAACTCCAGTCCGTATTCCCGAGCAAAGAATGCACCCGTCGATTTGGGAGACTTTGTTTCTTGATACGTATAAAGTGAAAAAGCATGTTGTACAGGGGTCAACTGCTTTATCATCTTTCTGTTGTGCAACAGCAATTAATTTTGTCAAAAACGTTATCCCAATGCATGTTCTAACTTTCGGTCAATGTTGATGTCAATTGAGTCCTAAACAAGACGTTTGTTAACACTTCTTTGAACTAACATTTTCTGGTCAGCTTATATTTGGGCCCAATATTAAAAACAGCTCTTTCGGTGCATACACAGGATCACTAAAAATAAATGACTTGCTATAATCTAGCCAACAAATTGCTCATTTTTGAGACAGCAACACCACACTGCCCCCACATTTCAGTGTAAGCTTGTAGATTTCATTCGACGACTTCATTTCCACGCGGAGTCTCGAAAAGTACTCCCCTATCTCTTGAATCATGTTTATTGAATCGTGTTTCTTATACGGGGTGCCCACTACAGCTGGATCGGGCCGATCGCCCAACTCGATCGTCTTAAACTGAAAACAAACACGTTTGTTTTTTAGGCGATCGAGTCGGGCGATCAGCCCGATCGGCCGATTCCATCCGTAGTGGGCACCCCCGTATTAGGTGTGGTGTTGAAGAAAATAATATGTCAACTTGTTCCATGTTTTAGGGGTGTTCTCCTAATCGTCTATCATTATATTAAACCCCGATTTAGGCTAAAATCAAAGAAAACGTGTCGGAACCTTAGTTTTCAGTGCCTTTTATGAACAGACTTTTAGATTCTGTTGGTCATCCAAATTTTAGATTCATATGCAAAGATCTGACAAGACTAAATGGAGCGATTTCATGTTACCTTGTGTTAGCCGCGGATAGACAAAAGTGAATAAGCTATACGACTAGATCTAGTATTACTATAACAAGTAAAAAGAACACTGTGCACAAAATTTTGAGCAATTCTGGAAGAAAAAACATTTTCATCTCCCAAAAAAGTTTTTGACCCAATCTAGCAGTTACACAGTTGAGTCGGATACCGATGAATTATAATTGGAATTCTAAGTGCTTTACACCCGATTTAAATCATTTAGCCATTGGGCTGCTTCATCCCTACCTGTCAGGGCCAACCCGGCTAAAGGCGACAGTAAGAGACTAAGACAAAAAAGTGAAGAAAGAAACACAGACTGCTAGATATAAGACAGACAGACAGACAGACAGACAGACAGACAGACAGACAGACAGACAGACAGAGAGAGAGACAGAGAGACAGAGAGACAGAGAGACAGAGAGAGAGAGACAGAGAGACAAAGAGACAGAGAGACAGAGAGACAGAGAGAGAGAATAGGGAAAGACAAAGGGGATGTTGGGAGGGGGGGCAACGGTGATATAATGTTTTTACTTGCATTGTTAGTTTTGTGTTCTTATAACTAATTATAAATTATTCTGCCTTTCCATTT